ATAATCATATGTCAGCCTACAGAATAGATAGATTTTTATTTTCTCAGCAGTGGGAGGTACTTTGTAATCAGATCAAGCAAAATCTTTTGCCTAGACTAGGCTCAGATCATAATCCTGTAATGCTATCTTGTGGAGATTTAAGTTTGAAGAAATCATATTTTTCAAATGTAAAAATGGTGGATGGGGTGTGGATGGATTCAGAGACATGGTCAAGGAATGGTGGACTTCCTTTTGTGCAATTGGAACAGGTTCATTCATTCTGGCCACAAAGTTGAAGATGTTGAAAGATAAGCTGAATGGGGTTGGGAGAATAAGAATAATTGGAAACAGAAAAAGGAGGATATTTTGCGTCAGCTATCTAGACTAGAAGATCCAGGAACAGAGAATCCTATCTGAGGATGAGCTTCTTCAAAAAATTCCACTTCTCTATGGAATTTGAGGAAGTATCCAGAAATGAGGAAATAGCTTGGAGATAGAGATCCAGAGTGCTATGGCTCAAGTAAGGGGACAAGAAAACTTCCTAGAGTTGCCACAATACATAAGAGATTCAACTCTATTTGATACTTTAGTAGTGGATGGGACTTCTGTTTCAGATCGAGAAGACATAAGGGGAAATCATCAGTTTCTATCAGAATCTTTACAAAGAAACTGAACATTGGAGGCCTGATTTTAATCCTCAAGGGGTTGAAGGTATTAACCTGAAGGAAAAAGAATTGTTATAAAGGCAATTTGATAAAGTGTTGAATTGCATCAAACTATGTGCCAGTGATAGGGATCCAGGACCAAATGGGTTCCCAATGAATTTTATTTAGAATTTCTGGGAGCTGATAAAGGAGTATTTTATGAATGCCAGTAGACACTTTCATGCCCGTCAGGAGTTTGAAAAAGCCTTAATTCTACGTATGTGGCACTTATTCCATAGAAAACTGGGCTACTGAACTAAGAGACTTTAAACCTATAAGCCTCATAAGTGGAATCTAATAATTGCTAAACTTCTTGCAGAGAGGTTGAAGAGGGTGGTGACAAAGGTAGTCAAGAATCTAATGACATTCATAAAAGGCAGGTAAATTATGGATGCAACACTCATAGCCAGTGAATGTTGGACTCAAGGCTCAGGGGTGTAGACCCATGGATCATTTGCAAGCTAGATATAGAGAAGGTTTATAACCTTGTCAGCTGGGATTTCCTTCTCAACATTTTGAAACAAATGGGTATGGGTTTCTATGAGAGATGGTTGAAGTGGATTGATTTTTTGCATTAAAACTGTCAGGTTCTCAATTCTGGTTAATGGAGAACCTGTTGGTCTTTTTTCCCTTAGAGAGAGGACTCGGACAAGGAAATCCTCTCTCTCCTTTCCTCTTTATATTAGTTGTGGAAGGCCTCAGTATGATGAGGGTGGCTATTCAGAACAACTGGATAAAAGATTTCAGGATAAGGCAATCAAGCAGGGAAGTAGATAAAGATTTGTAATTTGCTTTATAGAGATGACGCTGTTATTTTCTGTGAAGCTAAGGTAGATCAACTTAGTTTTGTCAAAATGGTTTTGGTGATTTTGGGGCAATTTATGGTTTTTCTGTTAATTGGAGGAAGAGCAGCATTTTTCATGTTAAAGAAGTCCCATAAATACCAAGTCTGGCCAACATTCTGGGATGTAAAATTGAGAACTTCCCAACAACTTATTTGGGCATGCCTCTTGGCAACAAACATTAAGGAGCTGGAAATCTGGGATGGGATTGTAGAAAAAATTAAGAAACTAAGCTAACTGGAAAGCTCAGTATCTGTCTCTTGGAGGAAGAATCACACTCTAATTAACTCACTCTTGGAGGAAGAATCACTCTAATTAACTCACTCTTATGTCATGTCTTTATTCCCTGTTCCTTCTAATGTGGAAGAAAGACGGGATAAGTTGAGGGGAGATTTTCTATGGCTGGGGAACAAGGAGGGCAAATGTCTACATATGGTGGTCAATATGGAGAGAAAGAAACAACAGTTGCTTCGAGGATATTTCTGATTCAATTCAAAAAATCAAAGAGAATTGTATTAATACCTTCATTTTTTGGTATAAAGAGAAGGTAGAGAAGAAGTTGAACAGTTTTGGGCCCAAATCTCTTGGAGGTCTCCAGCATTATACAACATTACCACTCTCAAAAAATAAAAATCCAAAAAACTTCAAAATCAAAATTGAAGTTTTGATAATTCAAACAACGCCCTCTCCTACTCATCACTCCTAAAATCCTGACCAAGGAGTCAATTGTGACTTTTCCCACTTTGCTCCCTTTGCACCTGTAACAGCCAACATCATGGGTTGAAGGTAGAAACGACTATATGCATTTCCATTAACTTTTTTTATGGAAAGGCTCTAAATTGTTTACGTGTTGAATTATTTTGTAAAAAAATTCAACAGCGGCATCAAGACACACAAACCTAAGGCCAGAAACTATTTTTCCTACTTATATCCCCATAACTGTGGGTTTGGTTATAGCATGAGAAATGGATTATTTATTGAGGCAATGTTGCTTTCAGAACTTGACTGTTGATTTCTATTTCATGTAGTTCTTGTTGCTAATCCTTTGTTTGAATCACAGTTTGCTGGAAGAAGTGCAAGATTTCAGGATCCTCGTTCTGTTGGACCTGGATTCATTGATGATATTCGGGGTGCTCCAGTTCATATGAATGCTGGGCACAATGTTTTTCACGGGTCCTCCGAGAATTTGAATGCTGGGCGACCTACTTTTCAAGGATACGGGTCTCCTGCTGGACAGAGCAGCAACATTCAGCAAGGCGCTTACCACCAGAATTATGCTGCTCAACAAAGTGCTTATCAAAGTTATCCAGCTAAAGGTGGCTACCCTAGTGGTAGTCCTTCCCAATTGCCTTACCAGAACCCTAATCCTCATCAAGCTCCATATCAAAGCATCAACTCGCAGCAGCACCAGCAGGCGCCACTGCCATACCAGAATATGGCTGCACAAGGCTCCTACCATTATTGATTCTCAATACTGAGTTACTCAAAATACCTATGGCGGGTTTTGTACAATAATTTAATCTCGTGTTGTGCTATAGTTGTTGCTGAAGTGTCAGTCATAGTGATCTAACTTATTGCATTTGATGGTTAAGAGTATCGTTGAACACAGGTTAAGTAGTTAACTGTTTGGCAATATTTTCAGAGACCTCGCTTTAGGTTTTTTCTGCAGCATTCAACTTCCTTGTGGTTTAAGGTGTTGCAGTTAACTGCCTAATTTGATTTCTTTGTAATGAGATTGTTTTCAAATGACAAAAATTTCCTTAGTATTCCTAAATTGCTTTTTTTGTAACGTTAATACATGGATATTACTGTCTATCTCTAGAAAACAAAAATGAATTGATAGATACTAAGAGTTCGTTAAACGAACTTTATTTTCTTTTTTCCAATATTGTAGTTCTGGAAATTCAATTTGTTTGTGCCTTTTGGCAACACCAAAAAAAATTGAATTTAGTCAGTTGCAAGTCTGCTCCTTTTCTTTTGGGGCAGAGGAGAGGGGATTTCACCGGTCACTGATAAGGTGAAAGCTCATGTAGTCAATTAATTAAACTTTTAGGCTAGTATGCTATGTCTAAAAATTGGGTGCCAAGGATCACTTTCCTTCTTGGTGATATCAGTAGTCGGATTATTTTTACTAATGAGATTTAAAATATATATTAAAAAATACAAAAAATTTAAGGAGGTTCAACTTGATTTTAACCTTGTAAATAAAATGCAAATTTTCAACTTGAATCCCTTTCAGTGCTCTAGTTCCACCCTGATTCAAAGATAGCCAAAATTTGAAGTTTATTAATGGTCTAAACTTGCTAATGAACGTATAACTCATCTTAGTTAATAAGTTCTCAATTAAGTAGTTATATATATTTAGTAAACTTGTTAGTATAAATATAGGATTTAAGCAAAAGTGACTGAATTTTTTGGAATTCATAAGTAATATTCTACCTCCGTCCTTGTTCAATGATCAATATTTCATTTTTCCTAAAAACACATTAGATATTTACAAAAATGTTGTAGACCCAAATATGCTTTTAACAGATCAGGCCGCTGGATTAAAAAATAATTACATCCGCTAACCAATATACAAAAAATACACTAATTATGAACAAAATATGCATGTTTTATACATAATATCATTAATATATAAGAAAATATATGTTTGCAAACGATTATACAAAATTCTAGCTTAATCAAGACAAATGGTGAGACAATAAAATAATTTCAAGCATGACAATAATAAAAAAACATGATTGCATCCATGCATGTAACCACAGCCAACGCGGAGACATAGCTTGAGCTACGAATATAGTAGTAAAATTCATTTCTTGATATATATAAATAATTTATTAGAACCCAATAAGCAAAAAAAAGTTATGATCGAGAACCCATACATTAAAAATCTTGATTCCGCCTCGACCATAAGATATGGATTGTGCAAGGACAAGGCTTCAAAGAGATACATGAAAGGAGATAGACATGCCGAAGATCTATTAAAAATAACTTCTCCACTTCTCACAAGATAGAGATAAAATTTGTACATTCAACCTTCTCAGACCTCAATTATGGGATGAATATGTTATTGTTGTTGTTCAACCCCAAGCAATATGGTAAGAAATATGAATCATTAGCCTAATTCAACCACAAAAGCTAGCTCATGAATGGATAGTCCAAGATCATATAGGGATACCAAATGACCCTATCCCCACCGATGTGGGATACTCAACACCCCCATGCCCAAGGATAGACATCTGGACCATGGGACAATATATGATGGAGCCAACATCGGAAACGATGAATTGGGATGGGTCTGGATTTGATACCTTTGATAAGAAATGGAACTTGGACCTAGCTCATGGGAAGGATTAGCCAAGACTATATAAAGAGACCAAATGACCATACTATCCCCACGATGTGGGACACTCAACATAGATAAATTCCTACCATCAGTACAATTTAATTTTGTTTCTGTTAGATGTTAATATTCATGAAGAACCAAGGCTAATATTATAAGATACATAGTTTACAATATGATCCAAAAACTAAAAAGAAAACAGAGGAAAATCAAAACAAACAAATTGAATAAGTTTGACTGACCTTTCAAGTGAAAGAAGTTACAACATGTGCAACATAATAGGCATGATAGCTAAAAATAAATGATGAACAGTGGCGGCATGATAAATCTTGCTCTATGAAGGCTTAGGCTAAATTACCACCACTCTCTTGCCACAAATTGATGATATCCGTGGCCTGATTAAGAAGAATAATCGACTGTTTCTGGGATATCCATGGTTTACTCTCGAGCATGACTTTAAGTTCCTCCCAAGCATCTTTTCTAGGCCAAAAATAATAGGGGCTCAACGGAATCGTGCCATGACCAGGAATTACCTGGTCTAGTGAAATTCCGATGTTCTTCTCCATCCAAATAAACTTCAACACTAGCCTAGGTTTCTCCAGTGGCTTGACCACCACTCCGAGCTTCTGTACATCCAGCAGATTGTAAGAGCCAAACACCATAATGAAAATGTTGCAAATATAATGAAATTTTCGATAAAAATATTGGAAAAAAAAAACTAAATAAATGAGAATCAAACACCAAAATAAAGATATTGCAGACATAACTAAGTAAATCAAAGCATTTCCTCTCTAACCATTAAACTTCTAAATGAGACATTCACCCAGTATAGTATTAAAGCACAGATGCATTGGTTTGAACCACCAGCCATCAATTTGGTCCAAGAAAAAGAAACAGATCCGAGGAGACGTGTTGCATACATAACAAAATAAATAAAAACACTCTTTTCTTAGCAGGTCAAACTACTAAATGAGACATTCACACAACATAGTATTAAAACGACAGATGCACTAGTTTGAACCATCATCCATCAACTTGGTTCAAGAAAAAGAATCGGAAAAGAAAACAAATCAAACCTGTGGATATCTGTCGCAGTCTCGCAGACATAATATAAATAAAGATAAAAGACCAATTTTGCTTTTTAACTATTTGAAATAGGACAATTATGTCCTCCATTTCGTTTTATGAAACAAAAATGCCAACGCTGTTAGTCAAGTGGCTCAAAATTTCCCTCCTCACTAACGGTTGTCCCAACTCAGATGGAAAAGGGACAAAGTTATCCTCCAGTCCCTACAAAAAAGTCAATATCACCCCCAAAAATTTGGAACCAATGAGGTCTCTGGTCATGTTTAACATTTTATAAATCATCCCTAATGAAAACAAATTCATTTGCTTCGTCATTAATGAATATTGATCAGGTATTAAGAACTTGTTCTTGATAGCAAATCTTCACAAACTAATGCAATCTTTTTCAGAAAAAGACATTTGTCCTGTCAACTGAAAAAAGATATAAACAATGTTCCCATAGTATTAAGTTAAATCAAATATCTACTGTACGCTAGTAAGGAGAAATTGAATGTTACAATATAACTGAATACAAACTCACACTTAGATCAACTTACACGATGATGGCATAGTAACAAGGGGACTTTCAAGCCAGCTAATGGCAAAGGTATTTTTGTGCCAAAAACGGAAACGGATAACAAAGTAATCTTATTTCAAATAGTTCAAGAGAAAAATTGGCCCTTTTTCCATAAATAAATATGCCCCATTATCCTAAGCTTACAACTTTTCTTTTTTAAATTAGTATTCCAATTTCCAGGCGAAAACCTACATCTTCCCACAAGCACAAATAGGAAGAAACTACATACGTATTATTCTTGAGTGCCTCTGCTGGATTATTACATGGTCTTCCATTATAATGGTTTTCATTCTAGTTCTATTGACAGTTTAGACACACCCTTGGGTGCAAAATCTTTAAACATTAAGAGGATGGTTCACTTCCCACAATTCAACAAAAAAGTAAAGAATTATAAAGGGCGGCATGATGCACTAAGCTCCCTCTGGACCATCTACTGTGCACTAAACTCCCGCCCGAAAACAAGGGCCAATTGTGCACAGCCTTACCAAAAAGGCAAAAAATTTAAACATTAAGGTGTTGTTGGTTAACAAACAGAAACCAAACCATATTCAGCATTACTAATACATCATATTCAATAGTATTCTTATACACTCTACCAAACGAATCCTAAGAGGAAAGTTAGTGAAAATTACCTCTTTTTGAAGAGAATCCGAGGAAATAGAATCATGGGTCGATGTTTCTTCGGCTAAATTTACGGCAGCCGCAGCTGAAGTAGCAAAAACGCCAAGATTTCTTCTGGGTACGATTGCTGAGACATTAGAACGTTGAGAATAAGACTGCCCCTTTGTAAAGGAGACAATTTTGGGTGAAAAAAATTGGTTTTGAGAAGAAAACGCAGGAACCCAATTCACTGTAGGCTGTGTAGCCATTGATGACATCATCTTCAACAGCTAATTTATCGGAGAGAGAGAGGAAACTCAAACCTTCTCTGTCATTGTGTTGTGTTCTTCATCAAAGTCTAGATAAGAAACAAGGTCCGACGGAATAACCCGACCCGGATATTTTATTTTTTTTGGGGTGGGGGCCGGGGGGTAACCTATTTAAACCATAGCCCAATATCACAGACTTAGACTTTAAAGTGACGGATCATGACACAAAACTTTATAAACTATTGAATATCCACCTAAACTTAACTTAGAAAACTTTAGTATTGCGAATATACTTTGGGTTATTGTTTGATTATTTGGATTAATTTTAGGCTAATTTAGGTAGATATTTATGTACTTATACGTTTCCTCAATTTGAGCCGTTATTCAAGTGTGAATACCTTCGTTTGAAAGAATATTTTTGGTGTAGAAAGTCTCAAATTTAGGATTTTTCACTGCGCGAATTTTCTGAGAAACGAAGTCATAGGCACGTAGGTTCAGCACTAGACTGACTACTCCAATAGCACTCATCCATAAGCCGGTTACTAGTACAAATAACATAAAGAAATGTAACCAACATTTATTGGAAAAAGCAACCCCAAAGATTTGTAACAATAGCCTAAAATTCTTGGATTATAAGTTATTTGTGGATTATATTCTAGGGATTATAATTTTTGAACAATTTTAGGTGGATATATTTTTAACAATAGCCTATAGTCGAGATTATACTGCAACACCAATACTTACTCAAATGATTATTTTGTGACCAGTCGTCTATTCAAAGAAAAAACTACGCTTAGCTCCCTACCCTTAAAACGACTGTGATGCAATGGATGGTAAATGGTCTATAGAACCCAGAGCACTATAATGATTCAGTAGCTGAGAAGGGACCTAGAATATCCACAGCCCCTTTTTGAATATCCCTCACTCCCCTAAAAATGAGTCATTTTCTATTGGTGAAGTGATAAAAAAAATCATGAACCTCATAATATACGTCAATATGTCACAAATAACATAATACGTGTTTAGAACAAATCTATCATTATTATCTAAGAATCACAATAACATAATACGTGTTAGAATAAACCTCAATCAAGATTAATTTCACATTAATTCGAATCGAAAAAAGAAAAGAAAAAAAGAGGAGGCCAAATACAAAATGGTCAAAAAGTGTAGTTTTGGAGTTAACTAGCCCAAAAGAAAACCGTGAAAGCCAGCGCGACTCCAACCAGCAGCCACACCAAACAGTCCTTTAAAACGGGTCAACCCGTGAAACACGTAAATCTTCAATAACCCTTTTTTTATTTTGCTTTATATTCACTTCAAATTTTTCATTTTCCCTTCTCATTCAATATCCCTCTATTGGAGTCGTCTTCTTCTTCTTCGTCAGAGACATCAATCACCAGGTACATTGTCCAATTCATTTTTCATGTTATTGACTGGTTCAGATTTAGAGGTATACCATTAAATTCTGTTGCTGGCCCCTCTACTTCATATAGACAAGACACCTATAGATAAATGTTCAATAATCCTTTTAAGTCTTCCACTTTGTTTGGATGGTTGTTACGTATTGTTTTATAATGTATCGTATTCCGTGGCGGATCCACCTTATAGTTAGGGGTTCATCAGAACACTCTTGGGTAGAAAATTATATTATTTATATATGGTTAACATAATTTTTTAGATATATATAGTAGATGTCGAAATCCCTTCGGCTACTTCGTGTCTATTTCTTCAGATTTTGAACCCCCTTATTAAAAATTTGGCTCCGCCACTGATCGTATTGTATTGTATTGTGTTGTATTCTATCGTATTGTATTGTTATAATGAATTTAATGTTTGGATAGATTGTATTGTTCTCAGTCATTATATAATGTTACACATCCATAATTTGAATAATAAAACTACAAGGAAAATAGTTAAGGTTAGAGCTATTATGAAAAGGTAGGATAAAAGATGAAATATGATTATTAAATGATAAATAAAGACAAAATGAGAAGAAAATATTAAGGTAACAACGCGATCATATCAAATCGGTCGTTATATAAAATGAGTTTTTTCGTCGTTATCTAACAATGGATTTAAACAATATGATACAATAGAATTTAAGTAAAAATCAAACAAACACCGTATTTAAGCTAACAATACAATACAATACAATGGCTAACAACCATCCAAACAAGGTGTTCGTTTCCCCTCGTACCCCCAACAACAACATATGAACTTTTACTTCGCTGGTGAGCTTTGGTTCCTCAGCTTATAATCAATCCTTTCCCTCATTTTCCCCTTTCCTTGCATCCAATGTTAAAAAACAAAAAAAATGAATAAAGAAAACTATTACATATAGTTCAACTCTAGAAAAAAAAAGTACTCCCTCTTCCCAATTTATGTGGCACCTTTCAGATATCTAGATTCAAAACAAGCCTATCTTTGATTGGAAAATTTTCGTATATCTTTTAATTATTTTGAATTGTCAATTATTATGACTTACAGTACTTTTTTCGTAATATACAAATATATAAATTTCATTTCAAAAAAAATTGAAGATTCCATGCACAAATTTCCGTTTAAACTTGAACTATTTGACTCTCGAAAAATGAAGAATTCCACATAAATTGGGACCGATGGAGTAAAATATGTCCATGGCCAAATGTCTTCTAGTGTAGTCTCACCAGTGGAGCCCAACTACGGTGAGATATACGCTTACTTTACATCTAACTTGGCTAGCATTTGATCATAGCTTTTATATTAGATTGTGAAAATTTATCTCCAAATTTGTTTGGCCATAGATTTTGGATCAGATTTAGAAAATATGTCTTCAATAATAGTTTTTTCCAAAAATTAGTCTAGATCAATTTTTGGGAGAAATTTCACTCACTCACAAACATCAAAAAAAAATTCTAAGTAACTGTATGTCCAAACTCCAAACACAACTTCAAAAACTCAAATTTTCAAGTTTCAACTTCAAAATCTGTGGCCAAACATAGTGGGGTAGAAAGAGAGATTGTTTTTGAGGAATCGAACCCTGCGCTCCTTAGCTATATGGACACTATTAGGTCATCTAAAAAACTATTTACAACTAATAACCTAGTAGAACATATGGAAAATAACTTTTACAACAATTAGATTCCAGTGATAATTTTATTCTTAGGCTATCAGTGAATATAAGTCAAATCCATATGTTAACGGTTTGGATGTAAGGTGATTGTTCACTGCAATTCATATGTTATGAGTTCAAACAAAAATTAAGATCTTTAACTTTTGACTACTTGACTGTTTTAAGTTGGCTTTCTTTAAGCTAGTTTGTTAATATTGCTGGTTTGTCTCCGTTTTAGGTCTAGTAATGCTCCTTCCATCAAAGAAAGATGACAAATTGACAATGTTTAGAGTAAGAGGGTAAACATGTATAATATTTGTGTATCATACTATCATATGCTGTTGGAATAAGATTTACAATCTAGTATTCAAATTAACGATGATTTTTTTATAATTTCTGAAACTCTATTAATTAATACAAAACTCTTTAATTTTTGAATAGTTATAATGAGATTTTATTTAGATACTTCTTATTAGGGATTAAGTTCTCTCAAGTCGACTATAAAGGGGGAATTTGACTCGTCAATAATGTAACACAACCTTTAGCTCAAGTTTTCACTTACAACTCCTACTTTGTTTTCATGTCCAGACACAACTTCAACTTCCAAATATCGTTTTCAACTTCAATAACTACTTTTCCTCTAATCTCATCCAAATCATGTCCAAATGCCTTCAAAGTGTCCCAAAAATATTCAAGGAATAAGTATGGAGGATGTTCATTACTTAGTTCCAAACATGAGTCAAGCTATGAATAGAATCAATATTTTCTACTATCCGTCAATTTTAGTTACCTGGATATTTTGTTGAACCAGGTAACTTCACAGACAACAAACATGGCCGATTCACGTGAAGAAAATGTGTACATGGCCAAGTTGGCTGAGCAGGCTGAGAGGTATGAGGAAATGGTTGAGTTTATGGAGAAGGTTGCAAAGGTAGATGTTGAAGAGCTGACTGTGGAGGAAAGGAATCTTCTTTCTGTGGCTTACAAGAATGTCATTGGTGCAAGAAGGGCTTCGTGGAGGATAATATCTTCAATTGAGCAGAAAGAGGAGAGCCGTGGAAATGAAGACCATGTTAGCAGCATTAAAGAATATAGAGCCAAAATTGAGGCCGAGCTCAGCAAGATCTGTGATGGGATTTTGAGCCTTCTCGAGTCTCATTTAGTACCATCAGCCTCAACAGCCGAGTCCAAAGTGTTTTACTTGAAGATGAAAGGTGATTACCATAGGTACTTGGCTGAGTTCAAGACGGGGGCAGAGAGGAAAGAAGCTGCAGAGAACACTTTATTAGCCTACAAGTCTGCTCAGGTAGGTGCTCCACGGTTACCTGTTCGTTGCATCACCTGGTTAATGTATATAACAATGATTCGAGTTGTTTTGTGTCTTGTGGTAGGATATAGCATTGGCTGAACTGGCTCCTACTCATCCAATCAGACTGGGACTTGCCCTTAACTTTTCAGTGTTCTATTATGAAATTCTTAACTCACCTGATCGTGCTTGTAACCTTGCAAAGCAGGTATCTTTCTCAGCTTACGTTGATTTATTTAACTTAATATTATTATCTTACATGTGATTTGTCAATCTTGCTTAGACTACGAAAGAGTAGGTATCCTTACTCAATTCAAATTGCATGTGAAATTCTAAAAGGGATTAACTTTAGCTTTGGATTTAGGACTGAGGCGTAATTTTTGTTGTGAATTAACTTTATCATTAGTGCGTCACTAGGACAATGAAGTTTGGTATTCAATCATTAAGTGGTTATATTTTCACCTTTTAATTTATTGAAAGAAGTCATCAGTCGCATGAGTTTTTATGACTGAAGGTTGGAGCAAAGTGGTTTTTGCATTCTAGGACCAAAAATTTTAATTGGTTATTTTGTTCGAACTGAAAGGAGGAATTCATATCTTTTGCATTATTTTTCCCTGCTGTCTTGGGGCGTTAGCGACCTGGGGTTATAGTACTTCTTCATGTACAAGGTTCAATGAGGCATGTTAGGATGTTGTCCCTTTCTATGTTTTAAAATACTGGTCTGGCTGTCTGTACTTTCCAGGTATAGTTTTCTCCCATTCTCACTGCTCTTCTTATCTGCCAGTGATATGTAGTTTTGGAGCCCTGCAAAAGCACTGTAATTAAAAGAAAAAGAAAAGGAAGAAGATGCTCCTATCGATGTGTAGAAACCTAATAAACAGTGATTTTTCGTATCAGGCCTTTGATGATGCCATCGCAGAGCTGGATACATTGGGCGAGGAATCTTACAAGGACAGTACATTGATTATGCAGCTTCTCCGAGACAATCTCACACTTTGGACCTCTGATACCACAGTAAGACTCACTCTCTCTCTCTCTGAAATGCACATCCAACAACACAGCAGCTTCCTTCATGAAATGATAATCAGATGCATTATAGTTTATACTTTCCTTCTCCTGATCATGCACACGAGCAAAAGATTTGTCAGGAAGGCCATGACCTTTGTGTGCAACCTAGGATATGGACTAGGTTGATTTGCGAAATACTAACATGTCAAATAATATGTGCCGTATTGCTTTGATCATTGCCAATCTGATCATTCAATGGTTTTTCTGTTGCCAGGATGATGTCGAGGATGAGATCAGGGAAGCTTCAAAACAAGAGTCGGGTGATGGACAGCAGTGATATCTAAGTAGCCTAGTCTTGTACTCCTTATTTTGTGATTTTCGACGACTCTTCGTATCACTGCTGAAGTTGTTTGATATAAAAACAGGTTTTAGTCTGATAAAAGAAACATGTTTTAGTACAATTTGTTTGTGATGCTATTGGCATCGCCATTTAATAATTAGAGTTGGAATACTGCTATTTCTTGTGTACTGATGTGTTGACTTTCTAGTTTCAATCCACACATGTTGATGAGCTTTGTATATTCGAGTAATTCAATAGTTCACAATCTTTTAGCCTCCTTTTATCAAACCCAGATATCTTTGTCGTCTTTCTCGAGCCACAGGGTTTCTAGTGTGTCTATCTTGTGTAGGTGAGTTTGATTAATGTCAGTCTTTGAATGATGGGTCACTAATAATGTGCACAAACTGGCCTTGACACTAGGGGTGTACAAGTCATACCGTAAAGTCAAATCGAACCGATGAATCGAAAAAAAAAACTGATTTGTGGTTTTGTTTGGTTGGTTTGGCGGTTGAAAAAAAAAAACCGACCACTCTTGGTTTGGTTTGGTATTAAAAGAAAAAAACTCAAACCGAACCCAAACCAAACCGACATAATATATATATATATATATATATATATATATATATATATATATATATATATTAATTAATTTTATTTATAGATAAAAAATATTATTTATAATCTACTTTGTTAATATATTTTTAGTTAGTTTATAGTTTTCAATGTTTATATATTTTATTTCAAATTCGGGCTTGTAAAATTTTGTAAATATTATATATATAATTTTATTTTATTTATAGATAAAAAATGTTATTTATAATCTACTTTGTTAATATATTTTTAGTTAGTTTATAGTTTTCAATGTTTATATATTTTATTTCAAATTTGGGCTTGTAAAATTTGTAAATATTTTATTTTGTATTAAGATCCGAAGTTACAATTATGGGTGTGTTTGTATGAAAGAAAATGTTTTCCAATTTTCTCATGTTTGGTTGGGTTAAATGTTTTGGAAAATATTTTCCAAATCAACTCATTTTCTTCAAATTTAAGGAAAATGACTTCCCTTCAAAACTTAAGGAAAACATTTTCCAAACCTCTCTTCCAACTTCAAACTACAATTACTTTTTTGTTAAAAAAATCAATTTATTTTGTCCCTACCCTCAAACCAGCCCCCCAACCAACCCCCCCCCCCCCCCCCCAAAAGAAAAAAAAATTTTAAAACTTGTTTTTAAATTCAATTTTTTTTACCCACCCTTACCCCTACCCCTACCCCCACCCTCCCAAAAAAATATTAAAAATTATTTTTAAAAGATATTTCTAATTTCAATTTTTTATTTTTTACCCCCATCCACTACCCTCGCCCCCCCCCCCTCAATTTTTTTTATTGTTTTTAAGAAATATTTTCAACTTCAATTTTTTATTTTTTCACCCCTACACTCTATCTCCCCCCCTCCAACCCACCCACCCCCTACTTGCCAACCCTACCCCAAAAAAAAATAATTCAAGTTTGTTTTTAAAAAATATTTTCAATTTCAAAATTTCATTTTTCACCCTACCTTGACCCCCCCCCCCCCACGCACCTCCTACCCAGCCCCCACCCACCCCACTCCTACAAGCCCCCCCCCCCCCTCCCAAAAAAAATAATTTAAGTTTGTTTTTAAAAAATATTTTCAACTTCAAATTTTTATTTTTTCACCCTACCCTTGACCCCCCCCCACCCACCTCCTACCCAGCCCCCCTACCAGCCCCCACCCCAAAAAAAAAATTGAAGTTTGTTTTTAAAAATATTTTTCAATTTCAAAATTTCATTTTTTCACCCCTACCCTCGACCCGCCACCCACCCACACCCCTACCAGCCCCCCACCCCCCAAAAAAAAAAAAATTAAGTTTGTTTTTAAAAAATATTTTCAATTTCAAAATTTCATTTTTTCACCCCTACCCTCGACCCCCCACCTACCCACCCCCTACCAGCCCCCCCCCCCCCAAAAAAAAAAAAATTAACTTTGTTTTTAAAAAATATTTTCAATTTCAAAAATTATTTTCTATCCTAGTAAAAATAAAAGATATTTCTCAAAAAAAAAAAATCATTCATAAATCAACCACTAAAAATCTTTTCCGGAAAATATTTTCTACTCACCAACCAAACATGAGAAAAGAAGTAAAAAATCAACTTGTTTTCCAGGAAAACATTTTCTAGGAAAACATTTTCCATGGAAAACATTTTCCTTCATACCAAACACACCCTATATTGTTATAGTTTTTCAAATTCGAAGTTAACAATTTACTTTGTAAATATTTCGTTTTGTATTCAGTTTGACTGTATTCTTTAATCTTATTAATTTAACATAATGAACGTTGATATTTCAAAAAATATATTTTGTACTCATGTGAATTTTACTGTTTTAACGAAAACTTCTATTCATTTAACATTTCTTAAGTTTAGCTTATCACACAGGTAAGTGAAAATATATTTGATCACATTTTCAAACATCGTATAGTTGTAAAAAACCAAAAAATAGAAAAAAATCCGAAAGAACCGACTAAAACCGAAACCAAAAAAACCGACTTTGCATCGTTTGATTTGGTTTTTAGATTTAATAAACCGACATAACTGGTTTAGGTTTTTTTTAATGAAAACCCAAACCAAACCGACCTATGTACACCCCTACTTGACACCACTGTTTTAAGAATGATCACTTTGCATATCGATGAACATGCTGCAATCTTGGCCATCTTTTTTCATTTAAGGGTTTCCTATTCAAGAAGGGCATAACCGCATGAATAAGCTCACACTGACTCATCAATTGTGTCAGTTTTAAGTACAAGTATCATACCTTCTTGCTCAAAATCGTTCGAGTTTCCTGCGAATATAGTTACCTCATTGTTGTAGCATTTGGTCTTCGAACTTTGGCTCGAGGCATATAGCTAATGCATCAAATTGTCAACAAAAGGCTTGTATATCAAGTAAAATATACACTTCTTACCCTAATGGAGCCATAAGGCTCACAAGATGGCATTACAAACTATGCAGGCCAACAAAATTGTTCCAAATGAAATTGATAACTTGTAGCATTTACAAACTTCCATCAATTCTTGAATAGTAAGCAAACTATTGCAAGCAATTTCTGAATATTACTAGTATATTATATCAACCACATTTTCAAAAATTACAATTGTACAGGTAAATAAGAGCAGGTCTCATACAAGTTACTACCATGTGGGATTATAATTTCCATCATTCTATATTATTTTCCTATGGGTTCAACAATGTACAGTGCAGACTGAAAAAATTATCAATATATTCATGTGGCACAGTGGACCATCTCTATATACCCAGGAGTCACAAGATATTTTCACAATCTACAATGTTGTGTTGGAAATTAGCCGTACTTCATACAGATCATTCTCTCCCTTTACTGCAAGCACAACGTTACGAAGATTAGTCCAAACAAGTCTGATTTCAAAGTCACATAAATAAGGTCAACAATGTTTAGAACTAACCAATTTCAGACGATATTCCAGGTCCAAAGAAAGACGTAAATTTTGCCTATCAAGAATTAAGCGGATTAGAATATTAGTTGTGAAGCTATATGGATGAGATGGATGTATTTACAGTATCGTTGTTTTACCTGTCTTTTTTCGAAATCTGATAACTGCAGAGCTTTTGCCTCAAAGACCAGCACTAGACAGTATTTACCATCCTCAGTCACCTGAAACATAGAAATTACCAAATGAAATCAGCAGCTGAAATAAAAATCAGAAGAAAATGAAAATAAGCTTGACAAATGACGATACTCAATAAGCATAAGGCTATTTGCAAACAACAGAATTATTGAAGTTTTGGTTATGTGATATCCTTTCAGGACAGTGATGAAAATCCACAAATTTTTTAGTGAAAGCCGAATAAGAACAGTGACGTGTGGATTAGGTGCACATGAGGAGTTTGAAGGCTGCCATTGACAAAAGCGCAGTATTTACGTGGAAAAAGGTAAAGGAGTGCACTGAGTATCAAACTGTGGACCGGTTGGTCCTTGGAGATTTCTCGGTTATAAAAAGGTACAACTGAATATAACTGTCAAGATCCAAATAGTGGAATGGTAGGATCCACCGAGACTTCATATATAATTTAGGTGGGAGGATAATTTATTAAATTTAGAAATTTAAAGTCTAACTTGGGACAAAAGCTATGTCGCTCACACTCTTCAAAAATACTGCCAGGTGTGTGTCGGATCCTCCGAAAGCTATGTATTTTTGAAGGATTTGACACGGGAACGACAACATTTTTGGAGGGTCCGAGTAACATTGGATAAAAGAACTACTCAGCATATCATTTCATAAGAGGAAGCAAATCACTGATTAGAAACATAATCAAGTTCAAGGAGCATACTTCTTCTCGAATATTTTGTAAGATTGGAGCACTTCTACGTGGTATTCCTCCACCCTGCAACGAAAAAGAGAGAAGAAAAGGAGAAGTCAGAAATTTTTATCAAGAGATAGACTTGATGTTTAAGACCGACAGTCAACATATTGAATATTTTGAACACATGTTACAAGTTTTAGATAAACTGATTTTGTTCTTGTTGCCAAAGCTATTTTGTGTCTATTCCACTAAAAAAGTACATCACTGTCAGAATTGGGGCATAAATCTGGCAATATGTGAGGCTGATATGAAGCTGCTACATGGAAGACAAAACTCATTGAACCAACGAACGAAAAATGAAGAGGATCATGCGACGAAGTTTGAGGATGAACTTTTCATGAATTTACTCATTTTATAGGTATTGAGTCAATCTTTAACCCATCTGAACAACATTCCTGAAAATTGATCACAACCTAGTGTCATCTTTTCTCCAAGTTTTATTAATTAATGAACTTGCACGAGTGTGTATTTGCCTGCTAACAATTTAAGCTTAAAATTGCGAGAAGGCTTCTTAGAGACCCAAATCAATCACTTCCACCATATGGAAAAAAGTTGCTAAAGAATCTTTCGAAAGGAGAAAGCATGTTGCTGCAGTTTCTGGATTTAGCAGATTCTTAGAAATGAAAAATATATAAAGAACAGGGTATCCGTTCTTGCTAAAATAAAAATAGCTTCGCTGCTCAACCTATGATGAAAACTGCTTAGTTATGTAAACAACTATTAGAATGCAAAACATATTTAATTATAACATTTACCATGGTGCATGCATAATTTTCCCCTATAGGCGAAGCCCATGAGAATGATGAGTTTTGCGGTGGAGATACAATGTCAACTTAAAGACTTCTTTTTGCTAGGAGTATTATCCATTGAGTTCTGAAGCTCACCTCATTCAAAAACTCAAGTAATTAAAAAGGGGGACATATCATGTTTATTTGTTATATTTTCACCAGAAATTCATCAGTGTTTGCTTCTTATTATAATCAGTTTCTAAACACAACGATAAGGGAAATTACCAGTCCAAATTGGAAAATACGCTTCAATGCCTCATCCAAATGCTGCTCATCCCCATAACGGTATCTTATCACATCGCTCCTGACCTTATAGAAAGAAAATCCTATTACTAGTTAGTCAGTAAACTGAAGAATGATCCATCCTGAATATGAAATAACTAAAATGAAATCTGGGAGTACAATCAAAAGGAAGTATTAGTAGAAAATCATCAATAGTAGGAAACAATTGTGTTTTGTCTTCATTTTATCTTAGTAGAAGAACCGTATCAGGAATTGTAGCAGTTTGACTTAACCTAGCAACAAGCTACTCACAGTATATTAAAATGAATGTCTAAGTTTGTGGTTCATAGTCATCAAGATAAGAATAGCACATATATACTCCCCATATCCCAATTTATGTGGCACACTTTCCTTTTTAGTTTGTCCCAAAAAGAATGTCCCATTACTATAATAGAAACAACTTAATTTAAAATTTCTCCTTTTACCCTTAATGAAATGATTTATAGCCACACAAATGGTCAAGGAATGTTTTCGACCACAAACTTCAAAAGTTTTCCTTTCTTTCTTAAACTTTGTGTCAAGTCAAACAGTGTCACATAAATTGGGATGGAAAGAGTAGCATTTAGTGTTAGTTCAGGGAACATAAAAGACCACTGTTACTTTGGCCTTTTGGTAATAGAAAAGAGGACAAAAATTGTATTAGCCTATTAGGAGGAGTAAAGGTGGACAAGAAATAATTTTTATTAACAGCAGTAAGGTGGACTTCAGAAATCATGGTGTAGCCTAAGGTTTGATAAATAGTATTTTACAGGATGTTAAAAACTATTTTTGGGCTGCTGGAAAAGGAAAGGGGGATTTTTAACTTCAGAAGGGACTATTATCTTTGACTTTTGCCTATCACAAACTTTTGGCTGAATGCTAAAATACACCCCTTCCCAAAACAGTTAGCGCTTCTTGGTATGCATTAACGTGCTTTAGGAAAGGCATCAAGGTGACAGGAGGGTTTCAGAAGAACATACCTGCTTAAGGACTGGAGTGGCACATTTTTCCCTTAGTAGTTCAGCATCTGCATACGTCACGCATGGCACAGGTTTGAGCTCTGCATACTGAAAAGTAAAAGGGAGTAAGTTATCCAATGAAACTGATCTCCCCACCAGGATCATCAAGGTGGCGGATTAAAGGTGTGTCCACATGTTCATGCATGACAGCAGAAATATTTGCTTCAGTGAATTAAACAACACTAGACAGAACATACTTCGAAACATGGATCCAATAATTCATTACTGAGATCCTATGCCTTATTAACTTCATACAAGCAAGTTGGTCAAGAAGAGGAGAGCTAAGATCACCTTAAGAGCCATGCCAATTATTGCAAGTGGGAAACCATATGTCAACATAATTGCAGACCACTCGGAACCTGGAAGGATGTTAAAATATGCCCCAAAACCATACCTGTCGAGTGTAATGAACAACAGAAGAGTCAAGGTAGACTTAAGGTCAAATTAAATGTGTCAAAAATGAGAGAGCAAGAAAGGAATTTATATATTTTTTTTAAAACTGAGAAAGCAAGAAAGGAAATGTGACCTCCAATAATCTCTTTTGTTTGCTATGAAACTAAAAGGGGAGAGAAAAAAAAGAAGTGTGGGGCTCAGAAGAATCAAAAGGACAGGACAAATATGAAAGCCTATATACGAATGTACAAAATTAGAGCCCTTAATTGAAGTATTTCTTTGTCAATTTAGACAACAGAAAGTCAATATTATAAAGTATGATGAATTAATTATACTCACGAGAGAAGTGAAACACCAAGACCAAGTCCAATAACACCAAAAGAAACCTGCACATTAGAGCAAGTTCAGAGAACAATTGATAATTCCTTCATGACCAGTAGATTTGAGAACATTGATGGTCAAATTTCTCACTAGATCAAGAAAATTCCAGTATTGTAGGACCCAAATAAATTGATATAGGATAAAAATGCAATCTTTCTTGATGTAAAAGCAAAGAAAAGTCCAAGTTAGATGGGTTTTAAACTCTAAGTTGTGCATTATAGTAAGGAAAAACACATAATGAAAAGAAGAAAATAGTTCACATTAGTGCAACGAAAATCTCCATAAACATACATAAATGATGTAACGTAAAGGAACTGAAAAGACTACAGTTCAAATATATATTATCAGTCAAGGTCAAAAATCATCTTTTCCGATAACCATGGTGTCCGGTATGGTTACAGGACTGGCTGCCAAGGATAGAACAAATGGGAAGACATCATCTAGTGTTTTATTTCTGGTGGGATTAGAACTTGAGACCTCATGGTGCTCAACCCACTTTATGAACCACTAGGCTACACCCTTGGGTGCAGTTCAAAACTCATCTTATTTGAATGCAAAAGTAAAGTTTTACTTTTCTCACTCGAAATCCAGTGACTAGTTCTTTTGCACTAAATATCTAACTACCTATTCTCCTACTCACTGACATATTCCTCTATAATGTTTTCTTTGCACTTACTATACTCCCTCCATTTCATTTTATATGACATGTACTACTGCATTGAGTTTCAGATTTTAAAATATTACCACCAAACTAGTTACTATTAGTTTGATAGAGAAAACATTGACAGAACTTAATATTTGAAGACTGAATCATTGAAAGTTGAATAAAACATTATTAGTAGGAATAGTATCAAACATTTTGGAACCTCTCATTATAGTAAGTGTTAGATACATCGAAAAAGATGGAGTATTATTGTGCCAAATATAAAATTATTCAAGAAAGAGCCTCATAAATTAATTTGATTTGCAGAAATTACAATAACAACAATAACTATGTCTCAATTCCAAATAAGTTAGGGCATCATCAATGGCCATAACTTCCCGTACAGAGGTCAGATTGACGAACAGTTTGCAGCATTACAAACTAGACTCAAAAGGGCTTTCATTTGATAGGTAAGCCCATAGAACTTAAACTCATAATAACCATTGGTCTTTATTTTTTCTCTTATAAATTGAACTTACGCCTAGCTAGGCGGACATTAGTTCTTTAAGAACGTAGGGCATAACTTGTGGATATTATGATGCGAAAATATAAACTTATATCCAACAAAAAAAAGCTATTTGGGCAAATATGCAAATGACCCCATAATCATTCCTCTACAAATGAACCAATTTCTTTCCAATTCTCTTCAATGAAAGAAATTAAATCAAAATAAAAGTACCTTAGCAAGTGAAAACTCTTCATCGGGAACAATAGCCTTGTCGGAGGAAGTTATAGCAGACGTCGGCTGAGACGAATCAGCAGCTTTAGTAACAACCTTAAGTCGAAGACGATACTGGGTTTTCGCCAAAATTGAATCTTGATTACTGAAACTAGTCAATTTGTGCACAAGTGGTGGCAATGTAAGAGGTAATGAAGGTCGAATTTGGGCATGAATTTGAGTGTTATTGAAGACGGCAAAACTCTGAGAACAGAAAAGAGTTCCTCCAGCTCCTCCCATGGCTGCTACTGTTTTCACCATTTTCGGTAGGATTTGGAATTGGAGGAGAACAAGAGGCTGTAGTGCAGATACAGGGGAGAGGAGAAGCAAAGCGCCAAATGTTTGAGAAAAATTGGATGATGATGATGTGGCATTATATCTACTTCAAGTTTTTTTTTTTCCTTTTTCAAATAGTAAATATTTTTAGAATCTCAAATTTAATTTTTGGGGGCAATACGCTTTGTTTTATTTCGATTTTGATCGTTGTGTTATTTAAATTTAAGCACATTAGACTTTCGAGTGTCTTTCATGGACATTATTCGAGTCTTAGCTATATGTACATGTTTTTGATCGCCTTAGTGCATGTCATATGTATACTTTTAACCTTCAAACAACTTCATAAAATCTCCTCAAAAGGCATATACAACAAAGTTCCATGAAGGTTATATGGAGATGCTTGAAGGTTAAAGATGTACAAATGACATATACTAAGGTGATAAAATAACATGTACGAGGGAGTCAAATAACGATATTAAGAGGAAACTTAAAGCATTTTTCGATTGTGATGGGATCACATTTTATTTGTCTTGGTGATGGATTCATAGATATGGCATTCAAGGTGGATGACGAGATTCACGGTGGAATTAACTCTAAGCTAGAGGTTTGGAGACAGATCCTAAAGTCATCTAAATGGTTGAGGTTGAACAGAACCAAAACATAATATTTGGAGTAAAATTCAATGATATAAAACATGAGGGTGACATGAAAGTGAAGCTTAACACACAACACACAAGTATATCAAAAGAGAAGAGGTCTCACAAGTTCGTGTATAAACTATATAAAATTGTATGAAATATGCATATAATTATATAAAATTTGAGTCGAATAAATCAACAATTGAAACAAAACTTGATACAATGCATAATGAAAATCTTCTACTATGAATGAAAAAAGTAAATTGATTAAAAACAATTAGATTTTTCATCTACATTTTCATCATATAATCCATGATCTTTTTTTTTAAGAAAACTTGAAACCTATATGTTGATACACTTCACTTTAATGATGAATTAATTTAGAGAAACATATGATGCTACAATTTTGGAGATACATTCACTAGATTTGTGTGAAAAGAGAGATTTTGATTGATTTGTATGAAAAAAAAGATTTTAAAATAAGAGAAAATGATGAAATTAAATGAGTAATCGATGAAAATTGATTTCAAAATAATATTCCTACATTTTAGCCATAAAGATGACACACCACATATTCCAAATATATTATATTTTATAAATTTTTACTATGTGTTGTAAATACGAATTTCATTTTCTATATTTAGTAATATAGAGTCTTATTTTTATATGCAATGTGTTTTTTCTATTTTTTTTTTAAAATATCATATATTTGAGCCTATTTGCGCGCAACTAAACTAATCTTAAAACAAGTAATTTTTTTTTTAATCTAATGTTTTAATTTTTGTTAAAATTCCAATACATTAATAAGATTTAAAAAAAACCTCTCATCAACCCCCAAATGGAATAATTCACAAATAAACAAAAACCTTTCACTTACCTCTTTCATGGCAAAATCATCTTCAAAGAGTGCAAATTTTTCCAACCCAAAAATGGAATCCAAGAGAGACAAAGCAAATCAACACCCAAAATGGATGAAACCCACAATCCATTCTCAATTTTTATCAACTTCAATGCAATAATCTTGAAGAGTTACTGGTGAAATCCCTGCTGCAGCTCAGGTGTGTTTCAACATTTTGTCTTGCTTTAATCTGTGGTCAACAATTTATTAAGACCCATCTTAGCTTATTAGGTAAAAACGAGGACTACAGCCACCATAAGCTTATGTTGAGTTGTTAAAAGAACAATCTTTTGGGTTGTTCTGTTAGGTATTTACTTTGTGGGTCTGTTGTTAACAAATCTTTAGAGATTCTGGGTTATGTCAATGGATTGATTTGTCTTGACAATGGGGCAAAATAATTGTTTTTATGGAACCCAACCATTATAAGTATAAGAAATTGCCTGATTCTAGACCTAGGTTGAAGAATACCAACAGTTTCATATATGGTTTTGGATTTGGTGAGTTAAATGATGATTATAAGGTTGTATATATACACACTAGTCTCTCGGCATGTGCATTGCACGTGGTTATCAAGTCATGTAGTCAAAATGATTGGACATCGCTTTGACGTTGGATTGTAAATATTTTTGTAAAATAATGTTTTTGTGAATGGTCAATGTTGATTGTTGAATTGTGACTTGTTTGCCGAAGTTAAGATAACTGGATATCTTCTGAACCTATCTCCTCATGCAGAATGAGATTTTAATAGGGTCTGTAAGATAAATAATTCTCTTCATTCTCTTTACTGCATTGTACAAGTTCAGCCCTTGCACTAGAGATCTCCTTGCTAGCCACATTAAATTTTGATTACAATACCATATTAAGCACAAATATCTATCCGTTAAATGCATCATATGAACATCAGCAACATTCTAGCTTTTAGTTGTTCTACTCTAGGATCAGAACAAGTATTAGGTCCTATTATGATATGAACTTTTATGGTAGAGAGGCGAGTCCATAATCTCCAAGTTTCAAAGTATGTGGTTGGTCCCAAGGATTGGGCATAGACAGATTTCTTGATCATTACAAAATAATGATATGAACTTATGATGTATATTGAGGTTTAAACATGATCTGCGTCATCTAAAAAACAAAACAGTATGTTATTGCTGGTTTTCCTAGGCACTTTCAGTTAAAAAGAAAGATTTACATGCACTCAAAGGTATGGTCTAGAGGTCAATGAAATGGATTGTGAACTATGAGGTCTTAGGTTCAAATCCTAGCCGAGGAAAAAGCCACTTACCTGGTGGTGCTTGTGCTGGTGGGAGGTAACCATAAACTGTGAAATTAGTTGAGGTGCGCAAGCTGGCTGGACTCCATGGTTATTAAGAAATGAAAGAAAGATTGGCAAATAGGAAGGGTTTACTTGAGATAAATAAAATTTTCCATGGTTCACTTGTATTTTTGCTATGGTTCTTGGACTACAATTGAAGTAGAAGAAGATAATGTCAATGAGACTATTTGCCTTTTCTGTATACTTATTCTGGCTGTTTTACTAATGTTTTTAGCTGTGGATGTGTCATATATTCTTCTTGAGGTATGGTACTTATTGATTGTCTCATTTTTTTCTTTTCTCTTTATGGCACGTACCGGATGTAGGAAGTGTCACTCCGTCAACTATTGGGTCAAGAAGATCATCACACTATTGTAACAATGAAGATCAAGTGAGTGCTAATTAGTAGTCATTTTTAGTAGCAACGATGATTTTATTTGGGTATTCTTGTTGAACGAATTTTTGAATTTTTTTTATATTTGATGAAGTTACTTTGGAGTAATTATGTTCTATACAGTAATATTTTGCTATTTCATAAAGCTAATATACCAATAGGCTGAGTGCCTAGTGACTAATTTTATCATTCAAAATCAAAGCTATCCCTTACATCATGGATGAAATAAGAACTGGCCAAAAGTAAATAGGCTACTTCCATCCTTAGTTATAACATGGAAAACAATGGAATAACGTGATGCTAAGCTTTAAAAAAAAACTGAAAAATGTACAAACTAAGCAAAATGAATTGTTAGTAAGAATCCTTCAACTCTCATATTTGAAATGCTTGCAAGCAGTACTCCTGAAGCAATAAGTGTGATGTTAGAAATAAGTGTGCTATGGTTTCTGTCCACATCATCAATAGGTAAATTGAACTTCCATGCCCTCCACATGCATAATGAGATATTAATAGGCAAATCCTTCTCCATAATGAAATTATAGATCTCCTTCTATTTCATCTCTATGCATTATGTACTCTCATGCACCTTTTATTACGTATTCTCTCGACATGTAGGTTTAGTTCTATTATTTTTTGATATTTATTCATTTAAAACCAGAATAAGTCAAATCTTACAACAACAACATACCCAGTGAAATCCCACTAGGTGGGGTCTGGGGAGGGTAGAGTGTACGCATACCTCACCACTACCACGTGGAGGTAGAAAGGTTGTTTCCGAAAGACAATGCAAAATCATAGAAATTAATAAGAAAAGCAGTGTAAAATCTACAAGAAAAGAACCATAACAACAAGAAAATAGTGTGATAATCGCAACACAATAAACCACATATGGCCATAACTACAAGGGTACAACTAATACTATGATAGTCACTAGTCACTACCAAGCCTAGGGCTGCGTATCGGTCGGTTCGGTTCGGTTTTGAATAGGTTTGACTTATTGGTTATCGGTTTGTAGAGATGTTAAACCGTTATAGAACCATTAATATATTGACTTATTGGTTATTGATTGTTATCGGTTTAACCGTTAAGATTTGACATAAAAATAATCATTGAAAATCACTTAGAAACAAGGTGACAAACAAAATGAACCATGCACACAAGTTCATAAGTTACATCTTGCTCAAAAGCAAACACTTTTATATTGTAGAATAACCAAGAGTTTGAGACAACCAAAAATAAAAGTAGGAAACCAAACTCTAAGTCAAGGACTTTATATACAAAATAGTATAAATATAATTATTTAATTCACTATCGGGTTATCGGTTAACCCATTAAAGAAAACACCTCAAACTGTTAAGAACCGATAACCCGATAACAAAAAATTTAAAACCGTTATCAAAACCGCTAAACTAATAACTCATTAGTGATAAACCAATAGCTTTTTTTTGGTTCGGGTTATCGGTTTCGGTTCGATTTTTTTTTTTTTTTTGAGAAGGTAACAACTTGTATTCTATTTCCAAAACAAAACAGAAACCTGCCACGACAAGTTACAGGTTTCCTAATCACAATTGAGGAGGAGTATCCAGAAGATCTTCAACCCTTTTAACAAAAAATTACAAAGATCCTAAGACATCCATAATTGATTCTAGATCTTCCCTATACTCCTGTTTACACCAAAAATGAAACAAAACTAAGCACTTCATCTTCATCTTCTGGATATTGTTGCTCTTGTTCTGATGGCACCTGAGGTTTCTTTCTGTCCAAGCAGCCCACCAGATGCAAGCTGGTATAATTTTCCACCTATCTTTATGGTCTGAAA